ATCGAACTGAATCATTTGAAATGATTTGCATCTCCAGTAAACACTTATCCACAAACTACTTACTTATTGGCGGATCGGCTCCACGTCACGCCCGTAAAAGCACGCACTTTTCTGCTGTGTAAACATACAGTCAACCTCGCGCCCGCTCTTTAAAATAACATCTGACAAGTGTCAGTAACTATTGAGTGAAAATGGGGTGCGGCTCCGTTAACAGCGTCTGTGTGTGCGTCTATGTGTGTGTGAATGACTGTACTTTCAATAACAAGCGCATGTGCGCGGGACTTTCTTTTTCTCTGATGCTCGGATTAAGTTATTTTCTGTAATATATCGTGACAGAAGAATAAAGCACAAGATGTGAGATGCTACCTGTTGAGCCTTGATTTATTATTCTGCTGCTACCACGAGTCAGGTAAGCTAATCTGTATTTTTTTAACTCTATGCGTTATGACGTCTTTCACGAGTATTCGGAATATGCAGGTGTAAGTAATATGAATCATCCACATATCTTTTGCCACTTCATTATCTGAGATGTGAAACACATGGAAAAGCTGCTTGAAGACTATCAGTGCAGTCCTGTGCACACACATAAGAGAACGTGCTGGTGGAGTGTGTGTTTACAGCAGTTTGGCTGATAAATATGAATTTGTAGCTAAATCATTTGCCCGCAAAGCAGCATTTCGCATTGTTTACATCATTGCTACAGCATACCGTGAACGCTAGACACTGAATATGTCATGATCAATTTTAACAAATAAAAACACTTACTTGTAGCTTACAACTTCTGCTTTGAGGAGATTTTAGCCGAATCCAGCACTGAACTTGGAGAGATTCAGGAGCTGTTTTGTCAAACGATGCTTTCTGAGTAATTTATAATTCTCTGGAAGATAATTTATATTGAACTGAAGGCACTTCTGTCTTTGTGTCGTGTCCTTTGGAAGCCCAAATACAGAAACAGATGAAGCTCTGTGGAAACAGCCATGTTTAGACGCATTTTTAGCTTCATCTCTGCTATAACGTTACACCGCCTCTGGCCACGGCCCTTACCTGCATGCGCAGTGTGGGATGCGCAGTAAACGAACTTGTGATGTCACACGGGGCGGAAGTATTTTTTTGTAGTCCCCAAAATTTGTTCATTGTAGGCTTTGCTAAGCTAACTCTGTAAAAACCTAGGTCTCCCTTTGCATTGAACTTAGAACTTTTTACATTCAGAGATGTTGTTTATGTTCACACAGCTACATTACACATCAACTAAAGTTTAAAATATGAGATCGTAGTTGACCACCCCTTTAATGTTGAAATCGTGCAGTAACAGAAAAACCGAGATATCCAAAAATCAAAGTAACAAAATAACAACAAACAAAACAAGAAACTATGGCTGAGTAACTAGAACAAGGCTCAGGAACAACGGCAAGATACAAAACACATCTCAGGAACAACATACCAAACAAGACAAACGACGTAGTGACAAACAATGGGTGAAGGGTGTATAAATAGTCCATGAATCAAACAGGAAAAATGGAGACAGCTGTGATGCAATCAGTATAAGTGGGTTCCGGGTGTGTGCGTGAGGTATGTATGAACTGTAGTCTTTAGGAACTGTAGTTCGCTCTCAGAGTTTACTAGCGAACTACAGTGCCCTCTGGTGATTACAGACAGTCATGACAGCGCGTGCACGCCAAGGGGTAGGGGTGTCCCAATTCTCTTTAGCTTGAAGGCGTAGGGCTAAGGGGAAGGGGTGAATGGCCCTTCGAACGAAGATTTTTCAGGACCACACTTAAAATCAAGGGCTAAGAAAAATTTCCCAGAGTACCCCAGCAACAGCTGCACACGAAAGGAGATCCACAAATTAGTATTTTTGTCATTATTACGAATTTTTACAACAAACAAACAAACAAACAAACAAACACATGGTTTAATATATTCATACCCGCATTTGTGTTTTACTGTCATGCTTTAAAAAAAAAAAAAAAACGCTAAATAAAAACAGCTAAATTTCGCAATCTATAATCCCTACTCATAATTCCTGTACAGCAGCCCCACAACATTCTGACACTCGATGACACTGTAATATCCTGTCAGTGAAGTCTAGTGGCTGTCAATGAGCTTTTTACAGTGTCCGCTATAATGTTAATGCTGTTTTTGTGTGTTTACATTGATGAGTATACTATGGCCACTGTGTTAAATGCACAGTATTACGATCTTATTGCCACATTAGATCATTATGATAACATTATACATGCCTTCAGTGATTTCCTGAAGATAAATACTAAAAAATAACACAACTGGAATCATTACAGCAGTTGCAATCGTCTGATCTCATATAAAGCAAGAAATCGCGAGGACATATGACGACGTGTGCAGGTGGTATAGTGCTGTCCCATTTCTTTGGGTAAATTTTAAAGCCCTTCCCCTTAACCATTGGTTGTAAAGGCCAAGGGGAAGGGGAAGGGGTAGGGGTACAAAAATAGAATTAGGATTAGGCCTTAAAGGGTCACGAAACACCAAAACACATTTTTTGAGCTGTTGACAGTCGTATATGTGTCCCACACTGCTAAAAACACTATTAGGACACCTATATTTCACTAAAAAATGTAAATTGGTTGTTTTTGCGTTATTTTAAGCAAATTTGTACTTCCTGTTTGAAACTAATTTTTGAAGCTGCGTCACGGTCATGACATAATAGCGTGTATTCCAGCGTGCAGACTGGACGCCTGAGCCAGAGTGAGTCTTATTACGTCTTACAGTGTGATGCATTAATGCATGAGTAAGGCTTGGTTCAAACCAATCAGCGCGCTCTATTGTGCAACTTCATTAATATTCATTTGTGTCACCGTGTTTACACCACAAAGACGCCACGTTGTGTTGGCAAAACAAGCGTGAAGTGTTGCTTTTATAGTTTGCTGCAGTTAAGTTTCGTTTTCATTTTCTCTCTGTGAGAGCTCAGCTGGATCACGTGTGGATTACAGTGTACGCGACGCTCGACAACAATAACTTACGTGTCTAAGGAGGATTATTGTTTACCTGAGAGCTGTTCTCATCTGCAAACGCTGAGATCTGGATTCGCTTGTAGTATTCTCTTCATAAAGACGCGGCTCTAGTTGCTGGTGATTGTCCTGTCTCTACAGATTTGGTAAGTGAGCGACCAGTGCTCTTTGTTTATTCAGTTTGTTCGTATCGAATTAAGTTAACTATTGCACTGAGTGCAGAAATGTTAGCACTGCATTTTGTGACCGGAATAACACACGCGGCTTTCTGACACTACCTGCCGTGTGCATCTAAGTTTTCGGGAAATGCTGAGGGTTTTTTTCTCTCATTCGCCGTGCGGTATCAAACATTGCATGAAAAATACACGCTTAGAGCAGCTCCTCGAATCAAATATCGCGTTTGTCGCGAGGGAGATGAATTAATTCCCTGAATGAAAGAGCCAAACTGCAGTTAAAGTCCACCATTTAATAATTTGCCAAATAATTCGACTATAGATGTCCATGTAGGTTAAACACCATCACTTTCTCCTGTCTGTGTGGGTGTGTATTTTGACTCTGAAACTCGCGCGTGCACAAATAGACACTCCCACACCATCTCACTTTAGTTCCTCCGACACTCCCCCCTAAACAGAGCTGGACACGCCCACTTTTCTGACTTTTTCCAAAGTAGAGGTTTGAAAACACCCAGCTGAAACGAGGGGGTTTCATGGCCCTTTAATGTAACTTCTACAAACGTATAATGCACATGATTTTGATAACACCTCTCCAAACCAGTTCTAGTAATCTAAATCCTCCACAATACACACTTATAAATGATTCCTACTTGTCTTCCAAGTGCAGATGGGCCCTTGAGCCTGTGCTCATAATACCCCATGGTTTCTGCAACATTCATTCTTATAATCGCACAGTTAATATAATTGGGTTATAATTGCACAGTGTTGGGGATTAACTAGTTACCTGTAACTGCATTACGTAATTTAATTACAAAATAAAAGTAACAATAATTTGATACAGTTACTGACAAAACATGTAATTAACTTACAACTACTTATGAAAATGTTAAAGATTACAAATGGGGTTAAATCTAAATATGTTTAATAATATTAATCTGTTGCTTTGCCTGTTTTTGATAGGCACGATGCCTGCAACTAAGGCCTTGGTTTTCCAGTTTGATTGCACAGCACCACGTCTACCAGTAACGCTAATCCTCTTTGCCGCTGAAAGCAGCGGGTGAGTTTGAGATCGACCTGAACTCAATCTCCCCTCGCCGTGCGAAAGGGATGAGCCCTTGGTTCGAGGATCCTTTGGGCTCAGGGCACTCTCCCGGGACAGCATGCCAAACAAGTTTTGTATAAATCATGAGCTAAGTGTGAACTCTTGAAATGGCTAACAATGTCTTTACATGAGTTCAACTCAATAAGCTGAAACTCAGACCAAGTGAAAGAGCACTGTTCACACTGTATAACCATCAAGACTGAACTGTACACAGATAATTATGGTGCAATTTGGAGATTTTTCTCTGATCACTGTCAGTGTTATTAGTAGGAGGGTTGTCTAAAATATCAAGTTCAATTTCAATCAGTGCTGACAGTTTAGAAACGTCCAACATTTGAGCCCTGTTGAGCACATTCTTAAACACCAATGATTGACCATTGTGTTCATGTGCTCAATAGAAATGACCGTGATTAGCCATGAATGTCATCAGTTTACCACTGTTAATCGCTGTTCACCAAGTGCAAACACAGATACAGGGACACTGGAGCATTTTAAACTCGCATCCAGGAGCTGATTGACCTTTCTTTGAAATACTCCAGTGACGGCTGGGCTAGGAGACATTTCTGTGTGGAGTTAGCATGTTCTCTCTGGGTTTGTGGGCTATTCCTCCGGGTGCTTCAGTTTTCCCCACAGTCCAAAGATTTGTGCTATAGGAGAATTGCATGATTCAGAGCAGCTAACAAGTCTAAAACTTTAGCGTCATGAAAACTGTCTGTGCAAATCTGTAGTGTAGACTCTTACTGTAGTAGACAACGTCTTGCATCTTCTTCCAGACTCTGTACTGCAGGTTCCCCAAGTACTGAGACACATGAATCAAAGCTCCAGAAGGCGTCTGTGGATCCGGCTGTGAGATCTGGACTCTGGAAGAACATTCAGGAGTCAGAACTGCAGTGGCTTTGGCTTCAGAAGCAGAAAGAGCAGAGACAGCAGCAGATCACTCACCTTTCCATTGAGCCTGCAAACTCCTTCAGAAAGCAGACGTCATTGGCTTTCAGCATCTCCTCCGTGTCTCTGATTGTGTCTGAAAGAGCTGAATTGTGCGTGTTTATCTCCTCCAGCTTCTCCTTCATCATCTGCTTCTTCTGCTCCTCTTCCTCCCTCAGTGCAGTGATTGTAGCTTCTTCTTCATCTCGGAGAAACTGATGAAGCTTCTCAAACTGCTGTTTAATCTGATGCTCGGTGTCATCGGCTTGAGCCTAAAAGAAAACCACAGACACCTCAGTCATCTAAAGCAGCTCACATCAACACATCTCATCAATGATATTGGAGATAAACTCAGATACCCGAAATATAGCATAATAAAATAAGAACCCAATGTAAATTATAGTTAATATAATTAATAATCATATTTGCAGATGTGAATAAAGTGGGAATAAAAACAACTCTTCATTGTATTTCCTTACCGTGATGTGTTGAACTGTTTTCTCAAACTCTACTTTCATTTCTTCATTTTGTTCAAACTTTTTGTGTGTGGTCTTCAGTGCAGTATAAAGCTCCTCCTGAAATGAAAAAGCAAACACAGAACAACAATACTTTATAAACTATAGAATACCACGATACAGGACTGTGAAAAAGTATTTGCCCCATCTATCCATTCATCTTCTGCCACTCTGGGGCCGGATCATGCGGGCAGCATTCTCCCAGTCATTTTCTCCAACTCTTCCAGCATGATCTCGAGGCATTACCAAACATGCAAGGAGGCATAGTCAATCCAGCTGTGGTAAGGAGTCTCCTCTGACCTGGAGATGGCCGGTTACATATTTCCAGTTGAGCACCATGGCCTCGGACTTGACGGTACTCATTTTCATTACCATTTACACTTGGCAGCAATCGTCGCAGTGCATGCTGAAGGTCCATGTTTGATGAAGCCAACAGGACAACATCATCTAAAGATGAAGTCCTGTGGTTGGTCCCCAAACCAGATCCCCTCTGGCTCAAAGCTTTGCCTAGAAATTCTGTCAATCAAAATATTGAACAGAACCAGTCAAAAGGGCAAAGGGCAGCCCTGATAGAGTCTTACAGACACTGGAAACAAGTTAGCCTTTTCGCCGGCAATGCAAACCAATTTGCTCTGTTCATACAGGGACTAGACAGCTCTTACAGAGTGCCTTTGGCACCATAATCCATGCCATGAGGCACACGGTTGAATGCAAACCACATGTGGACAGGTCAGTAATACTTCCATTAACCCTCGAGCACACTAATGAAGGTATAGAGCTGGTGCAGGGTCCCACTGCCTGAACAAAATCCGCATTGTTCCTCTTCAATCCAAGGTTCAACCAACAGCTGGATCCTCCTCTCCAGTATCCTAAAATTGACTTTTCCAGGGAGTCCCTGTTCCTAAAAGTTGGAACCACCAACCCAGTTGCCCAGTCCAGAGGCCCTCTCCTAGACCTCAATGCGATGTTGTCGTGGCACTGCTTTCACACTAGCTCATTTGATCCACACCCGGGTTCATTTGATGTCAGAGTTCGATATGTTCAGCTAGTGTGAATGTTGCCTCCTGAACTCAGGTGCTCACCTGTGATCCATACCTAAGTCCACCTGAAAGAGGTTGTCTGGTCTGTCTCCTCAAAAACTATTTTGTGAACATTTTTTATATTTTTTGTATTATAATCAATTCAATTCAGATATCAGTATCAGATAGATGCAAGTGGCTCTCTGTATTTTGGTTTTAGTACCAAAAAAATTAATTCAGTAAAAGTGCATACGTCTTACCATTTTGGCACCTGGCAACAGTTGTACACAGAAAAGCAGCTTAATGGCAAAAGTGTACTGGGGTTTTCAGAAGGAAAATAGACAGTGTGAACAAAAAACAGCTGAGAAGGTGGCAAGGGGGGGGGGCAATCAAACTTCGGAATCAGACGAGACAATTGAACCAAGTGTGAAAACGTTCGAGGTTACTAAAGTAACCCTTCGTTCCCCGAGGAGGGGAACGGAAGCACTATAAGTGGATTTGATTTGTAAAATCCACGCATTAGGAGGATTCGGATCAGAAGCCGCTTGTCTGGAGAGTATTGAACGGGCCAATGAATGAAATTAATTGGCAGCGTAAGCTTGCGCAGGTGTGCGACATCTGCAATTATCTCAGCATATAAGCACACCTGAAGCCAGCAGACGCCATCCTTTTAAGCTGAAGAGACTTTCAAACAGCTAAGGGACAGTCATTATGGCGACGGAGTATAGTGCTTCCGTTCCCCTCCTCGGGGAACGAAGGGTTACTTTAGTAACCTCGAACGTTCCCCTTCGGGGGGAACTTCAGCACTATAAGTGGATTTGATTTGTAAAATCCACGCATTGGGAGCCCATTGAAAGCGCCATAATGACTGCACCTTACCAACACCCCCGATGAGGAGATAGTCAAGCAAGCGTGACGCACCCACATCATGGGGGGCGCGGTCCTCCAACGTGTCCCTGGCCCTAATTTATCCTACTTCAACAGAAGTTTTACGGATTTAGATATATTTTTTGGGAAGTCGTGAGCATCTAGATAATTCTAGGAAATACGACAGTATGTTGGGAAGCGTGCAATCCCGATAGGGAGGACGCTGCGGAGGCCATCCGTTACCCAAGGGGGGGATAGATGGCAGAATTTACATATGGACTAGCCCTAAAAAGGGGGAGTACGCATAGCAAAAGAGTGGTTAGCGGAGAGGGAAGACACGGGTCCGCCCAGGGGGGGGACTTAACCGTGGCGGAATAAGCATATGGGATCGCCTAGTGGGGATCACGCATAGCAGGCACCTATACCCAAAACGCGGGCTGACCAGCGGGCAGACCTACAACGTAGTGGGCCAGCAAGTGACTCCTCCGCTGAGTCAGTGCTGGGGGCCACGGAGGAATCTGCAGGGCTCACCTGACGGGGAACTTTACTGACAGATAAAAAAGGCGCACGTACCTCCGTGTTAGGGAGAATGGCGCAGCAAGCGTGTTTCAACACCCTACCGAGTTGTCTCCTCAATCACCAAAGGGTTACCTAATACCCTTGAGGAAACCGGCTCCACTCGCAGATTGTAAAACCTTGCAAATGTGTTGGGTGTCGCCCAGCCCGCAGCTCTACAGATGTCTGTTAGAGAGGCGCCGCGTGCACGCGCCCAAGAGGATGCAACGCTCCGAGTGGAGTGTGCACGAACTCCCGGGGGACACGGCTGACCTCGACTCGAATAAGCGAGTGAAATGGCATCCACAATCCAGTGGGATAATCTTTGTTTTGATACGGCACTTCCCTGCTGCCGACCGCCATAACAGACAAAGAGCTGCTCAGATGATCTAAAATTCTGAGTACGGTCCACATAAATGCGCAGAGCGCGAACTGGACAAAGTAAAGAAAGGGCTGGGTCTGCCTCCTCCGGGGGCAGCGCTTGCAGGTTCACTACCTGATCTCTAAAGGGGGTGGTAGGAACCTTGGGCACATAACCGGGGCGGGGTCTCAGGATGACGTGAGAGTAATCCGGCCCGAATTCCAGGCACGAGTCACTGACCGAAAATGCCTCCAGGTCCCCGACCCTCTTGATGTAGGCCAACGCAACCAGCAGAGCTGTCCTTAGGGACAGAAATCTTAGAGATACTGATTCGAGTGGCTCAAAGGGATCGGATCGCAGACTCGTGAGAACGAGGGCGAGATCCCAAGAGGGCATGAGAGGGGGGCGAGATGGATTAATTCGCCTAGCACCCCTAAGGAACTGGATGACCAGGTTATGCTTTCCCACGGTGCCGCCAGCTACCGCGCTATGATAAGCGGAGATGGCGGCCACGTAAACCTTGAGAGTGGAGGGCGACAGCCTGCTGTTCAACTTCTCTTGAAGGAAAGAGAGCACAACACTAATCTGGCAATTTCGGGGGTCTTCTCTGCGAGAGACGCACCATTCAGTGAATAGACTCCACTTCAGGGCGTAGGCGCGCCTCGTGGAGGGGGCTCTAGCCTGAGTGATGGTATTAACCACCGCAGTCGGTAGGTTACCTAAGTCTTCCTCGCGTCTAGGGACCACACGTGGAGGTTCCAAAGATCGGGGCGAGGGTGCCAGATGGTGCCCTGTCCCTGAGAGAGTAGGTCCTCTCTCAAAGGGATCCGCCGGGGGAGGGCCGTCGCGAGGAGTGAGAGCTCTGATATCCAGGTCCGGTTGGGCCAAAGGGGCACAACTAGCAGAACCTGTTCCTCGTCCTCCCTGACCTTGCACAGAAACTGCGCGAGCAGGCTCACTGGGGGAAACGCATACTTGCTCATGCCCCGAGGCCAGCTGTGGGCCAGTGCATCCGTGCCGAGAGAGCCCTCGGTCAGGGAAAAAAACAACTGGCAGTGAGCGTTCTCGGGGGAAGCAAACAGATCGATCTGGGCCTCCCCGAATCGCGCCCATATCAGCTGAACAGACTCGGGGTGGAGTCTCCATTCTCCAGGACGTAACAGCTGTCGTGAGAGCGCATCGGCTGCACGATTGAGCGTGCCTGGGACGTGAATGGCGCGCAGCGATTTCAGCCACGGGTGACTCCAGAGGAGCAGACGGCGGGCAAGCTGAGACATGCGGCGAGAGCGCATACCCCCCAAGCGGTTGATATACGCCGCCGCCGCCATACTGTCCGTCCTGACCAGCACGTGTTGCCGCTCCAGCACCGGTAAAAAGCGGTGGAGAGCGAGGAACACTGCCAACAGCTCTAGGCGATTGATATGCCAATGCAGCTGGGCACCCTTCCAGAGGCCCGCAGCCGCATGCCCGCGACACACGGCCCCCCAACCCGTGTTGGAAGCGTCTGTTGAAACAACAACATGGCTGGACGCCTGTCCTAGAGGCACACCGGCCTGTAGGAACGAGGGGTCGTTCCAAGGGCTGAGGGCGCGGCGACACAGCGCAGTAACCGAGACCCGGTGTGTGCCCGCGTGCCATGCGCGTCTGGGGACCCGATCGTGAAGCCAGTGCTGAAGTGGTCTCATATGGAGCAACCCGAGCGGCGTGACGGCGGCTGCGGATGCCATATGCCCCAGGAGCCTCTGAAAGAACTTCAGTGGGACCACTAGTTTGCTGTCGAGCTCCCTCAGACAGTTCAGCAACAGGCGAGCGCGTTCCTCGGAGAGGTGCGCTACCATGGTGATTGAGTCCAGCTCCATCCCGAGAAAAGAAATCCTCTGCACGGGGGCGAGTTTGCTCTTTTCTCGGTTGACCTGAAGCCCCAGTAGGCGGAGATGCCGAAGCACCTTGTCCCTGTGCATAATCAATTGCTCCCGCGAGTGGGCTAAAATCAGCCAGTCGTCGAGATAATTGAGTATGCGAATGCCCGCGAGCCGAAGGGGCGCTAGGGCACCCTCCGCGAGTTTGGTGAAGACCCGCGGAGACAGAGAGAGCCCGAAGGGGAGGACCTTGTACTGCCACGCTCGACCCTCGAACGCAAACCGCAGAAATTGGCGGTGGCGTGGAAGAATGGAGACATGGAAATACGCGTCCTTCAGGTCTATGGCTGCAAACCAATCCCGAGGACGAACGCATTGGAGAATGCGCCTCTGCGTGAG